ACCATAAAACTGTAGAACTTATATGCATACACCTGTCGTGCTATAATCACTTAATAAAAAAACATATCTTTTTGACGTGTTAATTATTGGCTATAAAGTAAAACCAATAAATGAAAGGTGATTGAAACATGATCGTGTACAAAAAGCAAAATCAATAATTTAAAATTAGGGTAAAAAAAAGTTACTACACAATAATACAGATGTTGAATAAAGGCATGTCATGACCAATAATACCATGAATTAGTTAAGTGTCGTACAGTTAAAAAATACATTATATGCAGTCACGTAGGTGTCAGTTTAATTGCTTTTAGATGCCCATCAGACTTTACGTAACTATACAATTACATAAGTTTGAGAAAGTGGTCAATTGAACAATTTTTTGCCGTTAAAAATAAAAAATAATATTGAAAGGCCCGGACAAAAATGCCAAATAAATAAATCACTAAATCTTAAGGACCAAAAGTGAAGCTTACACTAATTTTAATTGAGTAAATTGCAATTTTCATCCCAGTCGTTTGTTAATAATTTCAATTTTTGTCCATATGACTTGCAAATTGCAATTTCCGTCTCTATGGTTTACAATTTATTATGATTTTTGTGTCTTAACTAATTCATACCTTCAAGTACAAGAATCAGAACAGTAAAGAATAATGACTAAAACAACAATAAATTATAAAATTATAAGGACGAAAATAACAATAAATTACAAACTATATAGATAAAACCACAATTTCAAAACCATAGAGACGATAATCATAAAATTTAATAAATCACAGGGACTAAAAACGTAATTTACTCATTTAATGGTCAATACTCAATATGGTGTAATTGTTAAAAAAATAAAACAAAATAATATTAGATAAATTAAAAAATAACAATATAATTTTAAAATTAAAATATCTAAAATTATAATAATAACAAATGATATGATTGATATATACACAAAATCAAAAATATATATATATATAAATAACGTTTTATCCATTTTAACAACCTCAAACCTTTCTTGTCTACAAGTCGTCATCTCAAAGATATGTGAAAACGATGTTTGATACTCCCAACTTTTTTAAAATAAATATTTATTCAATAACATTATACCCCTTCAATTAGTTTTATGATTATTGGTTTTGGGCAATTTTACAATTGTATTAATAATACTGGTGAAAAATTTACTGGTATACGGTACTCAAATTCAAGATGGTATGATGGCGTGATGACAACCTCAAGCCTTACACGTCACAACAAGGACACGACGTTTTTTAAATCATGACACAAATCGACAAATCTGTTTCACATATATATAATTATATATATATATATATATACACGTATATGTTTTTTATTTATTATTTAATAATATAATGTTATTAAATTTTTTACATTCATATAAATTTATTAGTGAACTTGAACAAATTCGAAATTGCAAATTTTTATCTATGTAATTTAAAATTGGTACAAACCAGCACCAACATATATCAATCGAAAAGCATGATACAAAATACGATTTATTGGTACATTGTATATAATTTTATATACCAATTATAATTTGTTTGTACACGATATTGAAGAAAACATAACTTGATACCTTATCAAGTCCACCCCTAATTTTACACATGTGAAACTGATATAATAAAGTCGAAGGTTTATAACTCTCGATGGGTCTCATGGATGAGTTTTAAACAAAAATCTATTTTAATTTGATAAATATTAATTAGAGGGTTAGGTTGATAGCACTTTCATATAAACTTGGAATCACGTGAGACCAACTTTTTTTCGTGAGACCACTCGTTTACACTTGGAACTTCACAGCAAAACGCTGTGAATGTAACTTTCACAGTGTTTTTGCTGTGAAGATTCAATTTTTTTTTATCTTCACAGTGTTTTGATATGAAGTTTCGAGTGTAAAAAAGTAATCTCACGGGTCTCACGAAAACAGGCTGGTCTCACGTGAAGTCAACTTCTCTCATATATTGCTAAATGTATTAAAACAATAGGTTATATAAATTGTTTTAATAATAAAATAAAGAAAAATCTTGTATCAGTGATGCATCATGATAGTTATAATCAAATAAATGGTTTTAATTTAAAATAAAATGTATAAATTTAACTCAATACTTAAATAAATAAAGGAAAAAGTCCACAAAAACCCAATGGACTTTACTATTTGGAACGATTAAGTCATTGGATAATTTTCTGGAACAAAAAATCCTTGGACATTCTAGAACTTGTTAAATAAATCATTGGACATTACAAAACCTGTTAAATAAGTTATTGGACTTTCTAAAATTTGTTAAATACATTTTGTTAATGGAAAAAGTCCGAAAAACAAATGGATTTTCATATTTTGAACGTTCAGGACCTTAAACATTTTTTGAACAAAAAAAAACACTTACACTTATAAAAAAAACAAATATACCATTTTCATTAAAAATAACTATAAGTGTACTTCACTTCTTTTTGGGGGAAAAGCAATTGTATTATGCCTTGGGCGATTCACTTTAAAATGCTGTTAACAGGTGCGCACATTACTTGATGTTGGTTGTGGGTTTGGTAGCTTTGGGGCTCATTTGCTCCCACTAAGTATTGACAAATACTCCACTTCCCAAAACTAGTGTAGAAGTATTTTCTTTTCTACCTAACAAAGATTTTCATGGATCAGATGGATTGCTGCTTATTGAAGTTGGCCGAATACTTAAGCCTGGAGGTTAAAAAAGTAGGTGCGACGGCGACGAGCGGAGACAGGGACGTCGACGGGGATGGTGCGGCAGCAACGAGGGTGGTGCGGCGGCGATGGGGGAGAGGGAGACGATGGTGTGTGGGTGCGACCAGAGGGAGACGAGAAGGAGACGAGAGGGAATGATTATGAAGACGGGAGGAACGGTGATGAAGACTGACGAGAGGGAGAAGATGACTAGTCATCCTTTTTAAGATTTTTTTTATTTTTTTTTAATTTAAGGTTTACCTTCTATTCAGGTTGCAAGTTACATTTTTAAAGAATGAAGATCTATTTAACATGTTTTAAAAAGTCTAAAGAGTTATTTAATAGATTCTAAAATGTCCAATGATTTATTTGTTTCAAAAAATTATCTAAAAACTTAATTGTTCCAAACAATAAAATCCATTGGTTTTTTTAACTTTTCCCATAAATAAAAAATGAACTCCTCCAATCCAAGTACTATTGGTGACCTACGCAAGTCAAACTTGGACAAGATGCATCGGGAAGAAAATGAGTAACAAAATAGTTTTAAATATTTTAAATTAAATTAAATGTGAAATATGTGTTTTGGATTAATCTATACTAGAATATAAATTATTTAACAAAAACTCTTAAAAACACTTTTATATGTAGAATACTGTTTATTAATGTATATTACTTAAAACTCAAGATTACAAGTGGATTGTGCATAAGTTTAACTTATTAAAGCTCCATATCTGAATTCGTGTAACTAACTACAGATAAACATAATCAAATACAGGATAAAAATCTTATATTAAATATAAAAAATCTAAAATATAATTAGGATAATCATTAAGTCCTAACAGAATACTTAATTATTATCTTTATAAAATGTTATATTATTAAACCAAAAATAAATTATTTTGTTATTAAACTTAAATTAAATTATAATAAAAAATCAAAAAAATTACATAAAAATGAGAACTTTTAAATAGTTGATTTGATATTAACATTGATATTTTTTTTTCAAATTTTTATGATATCTTCAAATTTATATTTTATTCAAAAATAAAATCATTATTGTTTTCTTAAAAACACATAAAATCGTATTATAACATTGACAGAGACAAATAATAAGATAAAACATTAAAATCAAGATGTGTCTCGCTGCATTGCGCAAGTATTCTTCTAGTTTATTAAAATGTAGTCAAATATCTGAAATTAAAAGTTTTTAATTAAGAAACTAACATGTATCTGAAAAAGAGAAAAGTCATCTAAACTAACTCAATCAAGAAAAATTTACGTTGTTATTGTATTTTCAAAATCTATACAGTTATATATAACAAAATAATACAGTAACACATTTATTATATTTATAAGTTTTTACACAACAAAACTATAGTTTATGCCATCATATGTTATAAAATGGATTCTCCCTATTTTTTTAAATTCTTTTAAACCAATTATTGAACATTTCATATATAGAGAGAGAGAGAGAGAAATTTGTTTTTTTAGGAGAGGAAGACAAGAGCGTATCTTCAAAAGAAATCATCAAAATTCGATTCACTTGCTTTTTAAAGTAATTACCCTTCTTTTCTCTTTCATTTTTCATGCACCCATCGCCATTATTAATCAACGTGTGTTTATACCCAATTAGGACACACACACACACACACACACCCCCCATATTCATTGCATTTCCATCTAAACGATAAAGATTACAACTTGCCTTTCTTTTGGTTTTTCTGTTTCTAATCTTCAACTTCCCCCAAGATTTGATATGCTTTTAGTTAATTTATTCAAGATACACACAGAAAACAGTGAATGTGGTTTCATTTGTCTGGAGTGAATAGCAGAAGAAATGATTATATTAAAAAAAAAAACCCCATTTTTTAATCCAATTTATCAACCACACAAATTTCTTTAATCCCTTTCTGCATCTATTTAGGGCTTCTGCATAAACACACCCATGTTTCTCTACATTTCCTTTCTGGGGTTCTTGCTTTCTTTCTCTCTCTCACATTGTGTGAAAATCTGCAGTAAACAAAGGGTATTTCTTGTACCTGATAATCTTTCTTAATTGGGATGTTAAAGTTTTCTTGACTAAAACAACTCAAATTCTTGGAACCACATTTCTTTTTTGACCAAATAAATTGATTCTGCAAAAAAATTGGAGTTTCTTTCAAGATAATATCGACACCCCTTTTGTGATTGATGACCTTTAGAGACATGAAGTGGCACCAAGAAGGAGAGGAACAAGAAGAACAGCAGAAGGTACAAGCAAGAGAAGCAGAAAACAGAGGTTTGTATTTTTGAATTCAAGATGGGTGTGAAAATGCAAGGCCACCATCATTTGGTGGCAGTGAGTCTGAATGAACAGCAATTGGGCATAAAAAGAAAGTATACATCATACATTCCAAGAAGAAATCAAAGCAAATACTTAGCATTATGGATAATTGCTTTTGGGTTTGTGGCTATGAATGTATATAAGTGCATAGATGCAGGCCATCAAGAAAGAATTGAAGAGGGTTTGGTCAGTATGTGTGATCAGAGGGCAAGAATGTTACAAGATCGATTTAGGGTTAGTGTTAATCATGTACATGCTTTGGCTGTTCTTGTGTCCACCTTCCATTATTACAAGAACCCATCAGTAATTGATCAGGTTTGAACATTTCTTCTTGTCTGCAAATCTTTCACTGTGTGTTTTCTTCTTTTTTACAGTCTCAGAACTAGAAATAGAAAGGGTTATTCAGCTAAATGACCTTCTGAGCATTTTGTAGGCATTTTTAAACCTTTTAGAAGGCCAAGGAGTCTTTACAAAAATGGCAGAAGGTTATTTAACCAAAGGATCCAGACAGGAACTAGAAAGCACTCAACTTGGTTCAATTGGGGGTTTTTAAGCTTGTTTTGGTGTTCTTAGTTTTTGAATCTTGAATTTTTGTGATTGGATTCAAATTTCAATCTAGGAAACATTTGCTGAGTACACAGCAAGAACAGCATTTGAGAGACCTTTGTTAAGTGGAGTTGCATACGCTCAAAGAGTAATGAATTCTGAGAGGGAAGAATTTGAGAAACAACATGAGGGGATCATAAGAACAATGGCTAAAGAGCCTTCACCGCACCGAGATGAGTATGCACCTGTGATTTTCGCTCAAGAAACAGTTTCCTATCTTCATTTGCTAGATATGATGTCCGGGGAGGTAAGTTTTATCAAGTTTTTATGATTATATATTGTATATGATATCGGGGGACGTTCAAATAGGAACAAACTAAGTCATGTATTATTCATGATGATTAACCTTAAATAATCGTGATATTCATTATGAATAAAGCATGAATAGTTGGTTTTCAGTTCTCAAAATATCTACGGTTATCATTTGAATCTACGCTAGGTATCACATATATCCTTGAAAGTTAATGTGGGAAAACTTGAATTTGATGATTAGGAGGATAGAGAGAACATACTGAGGGCTAGAGCAACTGGGAAAGCAGTGCTTACAAGCCCTTTCAAGCTTTTAGGTTCTAATCATCTCGGGGTAGTTTTGACCTTTCCCGTATACAAGTCAAAGCTTCCACCAAAGGTGTCGGTTCGAGAACGCATTGAAGCTACTGCAGGGTAATTCCTTCGGGTTCAAATCTAGAATTGTTAAGTTGGATTATGCTTTTTGTCGAATGATTTCATTTGCATGTTCAGTAAACTAAGTTTTGATAGCCGTTACTTCGTTACTAATCTGAAACAGATATCTTGGTGGAGCTTTTGATGTCGAGTCGCTCGTGGAAAATCTACTCGGGCAGCTTGCGGAGAACCAAGAGATAGTTGTAAAAGTTTATGATGTTACCAACCCTTCGAACCCTTTGATCACATATGGCCGCCAGACTCAAGAGGGTGATCTGTCACATACGCGTGTTAGTATGCTCGATTTTGGTGATCCGTACCGGAAGCACCAGATGACGTGCAGGTGATTACTGGTTTTAATGTCAACGGGTAGCTCAACTAGTAAGAACTTTGGTTTTCCCTCAGGACCATCGGAGGGTCGGTCTGTCTGTCTGGCTGTTTACTTCTGGGTCCCATAGGATTAGTCTGAGGTGCGCGTAAGCTGGCGTGGACACCCATGGTTACAAAAAGAAACTGGTTTTTAATGCTAACGGTGTTAGATTTGGTGTGCAGATATCTTCGTAAAGCGCCTATATCATGGACCGCATTCACAACTGCATCTTTAGGCTATGTGATTGTTCTGTTAGCTGGCTATATGTTTTACACCGGAGCGATTCATATTGTTCAGGTTGAGGATGACTTCGACACGATGCAGCAATTAAAAGTCCGAGCGGAAGCTGCTGATGTTGCCAAGTCCCAGGTAACTCTTGCTCTGTCTTATGAAAACCGTTAAACCAGACAGTCTTATTGATTCTACTTTCAGACTTCGGCACTACCTAAGGAAATCTTGTTGAATAAAAGCAACGGAATCTTTGTTTTGTAACGATGATCATGGCCAAACAATTAATATTTCATCGGTTTAACTAACGTCTTTTTGGTCTCGAACGCCAGTTTCTTGCTACGGTTTCACATGAGATCAGGACCCCGATGAATGGCATCCTTGGTATGGCCTGTTATCTTCATTTCTTAATCTAATACATTTTACGTTTGTATGTAATTACCAGACGTGCCGTTTTGCAGGGATGCTTGCATTGCTTCTAGATACTGAGTTAAGTTCGACTCAAAGGGATTACGCTCAAACTGCACAAGCTTGTGGAAGGGCATTGATCACGTTAATAAATGAGGTGCTCGACAGGGCCAAAATCGAAGCCGGGAAGTTGGAGCTGGAGTCGGTCCCATTTGATCTTCGCTCCATACTCGATGACGTTCTCTCTTTATTTTCCGAGAAGTCTAGGCATAAAGGAATCGAGGTAAAGCAAATTTTTCTTGCTTCTTTTATTTCTTTAAAACCGTCATTTATTTGAAGCTGCATCCATGTTTTCGTTTATAGTTCTAGTGAAATATGATTACGTTATTGTTTTGTTTGATCGGGAAATCGAAGTTGGCTGTTCTTGTATCTGATAAAGTTCCACGAATTGTTATGGGGGATCCAGGAAGATTTCGACAAGTTATTACAAATCTTGTGGGGAACTCCGTTAAGGTAAGCATATCTTTGATCTCGAGCTCGCACTACAACAAAATTGGGTTTATAGGACGCCAAAGATGTCTAAATGTCCTAATAACTGTTTTATAGGGATTTAAATTCATAGGACCAAACAATTATGCCTCATACTTGAAAGTGTTACAATAAGTCGATAAGCTGCTGAATTTTTTTTAGTGTCATGATCATATTACAACTGTTTCAAGAGACCAAAACCGATGAATCACATTCTGTTTTTGGGCAGTTTACTGAACACGGACATATATTTGTTCAAGTTCATCATGCCGAGCATTCTGAAGCGGATGCAAAATCCGAGACTTTCATGAATGGAATATCAGAAGGAAGGGCTATATCTAGGTTCAGAACGTTAAGTGGTCGTGAAGCAGCCGATGATCGAAACAGTTGGGACACATTTAAGCATTTAGTAGGCGAGGACGAGTACCCATTTCGAGCAGCAACTGCCGAGAAAGTTGATCTACTGGTGTCAGTTGAAGATACAGGAATCGGGATACCAATACATGCTCAAGAACTAGTTTTCATGCCGTTCATGCAGGCAGACAGTTCGACATCTAGACATTATGGAGGAACGGGTATCGGATTGAGTATTAGCAAGTGTTTGGTTGAACTGATGGGTGGTCGGATAAGCTTCGTTAGCCGCCCTAAAATCGGAAGCACGTTTTTTTTCACGGTTGCGTTTAATAGGTCCGAGAAAAGCACGGTTTCAGATCTGAAAAAATCTCTTTATGAAGATCTTCCGAATGCCTTCACGGGTTTGAAAGTAACCGTGGTCGATTCAAAACCAGTCAGAGCTGCTGTTACTCGATACCATCTACAAAGACTCGGTATGGTCGTTAAGATCGTTAACAGCATACAGATGGCCATTTCCATGAGATTCATGTTAGTACTTCTCTTTTCTTTACCTTCCACACTCGTTGAACTACAACAAGATCGGTTTTATAGGATTTCAAATGTCTAAATGTCTTGATAATGTCATATAAAAAAAAGACTAATACGACGCTTTATTTCAAAAGTGTCATAAAAAACTTGTAGGATGCCCAAAAATATTTTATCAAAATCTTGTAACACCTTTACATATGGACGCACATTTAAACATATTCGCCGATTTTGTTATAGTGTCTGGTTTTGATTGGATTGGCTCGGTTCAAAACACGCCCCTATTCGATATTCTGACACAATTTTTTTACTTTCTACAGAAACGAGAGGCAGCCCGATCTGCTTCTAGTCGAGAAAGATACGTGGTTATCTAATGAAGATACGGGTAACATACGACTTTCGGACCATAGACCAATTGGGCACACATCAAATTCACCTAAAATGATCCTTCTTGCTACAAATATAACAAGTCCCGAGTTCGATAAGGCAAAAGCAACGGGCTTTTCCGACACCGTGATCATGAAACCACTAAGAGCGAGCATGGTGGCAGCATGCCTGCAGCAGGTGCTGGAAACCGGGAATCAGGCAAAACAAGGTAGATTGATGGCCAAAGGATCTCTTTATCTTCGAAGTGTGCTTTCTGGGAAGAAAATATTGGTAGTCGATGATAACAGAGTGAACCGTAGAGTTGCTGCCGGTGCCCTCAAGAAATTCGGGGCCACGGTCGAGTGTGCCGATAGCGGTAAAACCGCTCTTGCGTTGCTTCATTTGCCGCACACTTTTGATGCCTGTTTCATGGATATTCAGATGCCGGAAATGGACGGGTATGTACTATAACTTGAATCTTAATACTTAGGGCCTCTTCACTACCTGCCTACCGCCTCTTGCTTGTACTACAACAAAACGGGTTTACAAGACTCCAACAATGTCTGAATGTCATAATAAGACTATTTTATGCGACTTAAGTTTATAGACCAACAATTGTGCGCCCTATGTAAAAGTCTGTTGACGTTTTTTGGTGTCTTTAACAAGTTTTTTAGGACATTTTATACGACATTTCGATTGTTTCAGTTTTGAGGTGACACGTCGTGTGCGGATGATGGAGAGCAATGCAAACCAGGAACCAATGAGCGAAACAATGACCATCGAAGGGTCTGCTTTCACGAGGACCGGGGAATGGCATTTGCCGATACTAGCCATGACCGCCGATGTAATCCATGCCACATTCGACGAGTGCCGGAAAAGCGGAATGGATGGCTACGTATCGAAACCTTTCGAGGAAGAAACCCTGTATCAGGCTGTCGCCAAGTTCTTCGAATCTAACCCACCATCAGACCGTAGTTTTAAAACCACAACATCCAAAAATGGCGAACCGTAAGTAGCCTCTTAACCGAAAAAGTGCACATTTTTCAAGATCTCTTGAACCAGCATTACACTTTCGGCCTTCAGTTGGGCTGGTCTCGAGTCTAACTGAGTTCGGATCAACTCGACCGATGCCACTCGGGGAGCTGTATCCGAATATGTGTACAGAGGTTTCAGTTTGATTTGTATCATTTATAGGATACGGTGTCGTTTGGCAGCCTATCTTTTGTATAATCGTCATTGAGAATTCATTATTCATCCAAGAAAAATTAATTACGTCTCCAATACTCTGTACACTGAATTTTAATTAGCAAATTGAAATACGATCCATCAGTTTTTTTTTATTAACCTGGAGCCGACTAATTTCAGTGCGACCACATGTTTTGCAGATAACTCGGAGTCATCGTATTTGAACCTCCGTGGCCATAAGAAGATTTTTATTTCTCATTGGATTTGAACTTGAAACCTCATGTTACTTTTGATTTTTAGAGGCAAACTCAAACCAATCGGGCACCATTCTTGTAGTTTTCATGAGTTTTTTTAATCATTCACATCAACTAATCCCTGATGATTAAAACCGATTTATTCCGCATTTTAAACTACTATTTATCAATCTTTGAAACTCTTCGATATCAATTTTATCATCACATAAAATAACAAAAAAAAATATTTTATTAAATTAAAAATAATACGTCATAAAAAGTATATATATATATATATATATATCATAATTCGTTTTAGGAAAAGACAAATACGAAGCCTTGTAACAAACCAACAAACGTTTTAAATTGGGAAGACAAATATTCTTTCCCGATTGTGGTTTACGTTTCACGGTTTTCTTTTTTAAATTATATTTTTTTTCCTTAAAAGTATTTAATGAATTTTTAAATATAAATTTAATTATCATATTTTTTTTATCTTCAAAATTTGTTTTAAAAAACACATTTATAATTTAAGCCAGGTTGATTTTTTGTATATTAAATTTTGTTTTAAAATGAGTAAATTACAAACTTGGTCCTTGTGGTTATTGAAAATTTTGAATTGAGTCCCTCAAATAATATAGTTTCATGTGTGGTCAACATAGTTTCACTTTTGTTATGGATTGGGTCCCTTATCCTAACTCCACTAACCAATACTCCATTAATCAAGGGGTAGTATTGTCTTTTTACTATTTTCTTTTTTCTTAAATTATACTTATTTTAAATTGATGCATGGTGTATCCATTGTACCCAAGTACAATCCTATAATGAACTTAAACATTTTCTGCAAACCCTCTTGTAATTCTCAGTTTACATATTTTTTTATTAACCTTGATATCTAATCCGTGATATCAGCCGACTAATCCCAGAATCACCACCTACTTTGATTAAAAGTTAAATATGGAGCTCCATCCATGCGCACTTCCACATACATCCTTGATCCGTCTCCGCTTACTCCTTCTTCCCGTCTTTGCACTATGTTTCTTCGGTAAGATCTCACCGGCAGCCACCCCACTACTTGTTTCCTGAGAACCATTCAGTTCACATAAGTTTTTCTACATGATCGAATTTACAGTACGGTTTGCATGTGGTTTGTAACTTACCTGGTGGGTGGTGCACATATTGATTCATTTTCTTCTGTGCAGGTGCTGGATTCCATCTCCATGAACTTCTTTTGTTACCGGAAAAGACTTGTTTTTCTCTCTAGCTGGTCATTGGTTCCCGACCATCCTAATCTGAGCTCAGTTGCTTTCTAATTGAGATCGATATCTTTAAAAACATTGAAATAACTTCTCTTTTTAATTACATATTCGAGATGAAACTCGCCGGAAAAAAAACAAATGGAATTCTTGGAGACGGAGATCCAGAAAGAGCACAGATCTGTCAGATGAGTTTTAAGATTTGTCAGCAAACAAACCAATGGGTTTTAAGATCGCCGGAAAAAGGAGACGATGAATGGCCATGGGAAAAAGCACATATCCATCGGATCGGTTTTGAGATCGCCGGAAAAAGCAAACGATGAATGGCCAGGAGAAACGCTAAAGACAACGGGTCCTGTTGCAGAAGATGGGTCGTATAGTGAACTGTGGTGGTGAAGAATGAAGTATGGCGGTGAATGGACTGGCATGAGGGAGGAGATGAAGGAGGAGGCCGGAGGGAGACACCGTAGAAGAGAGAAGGCGCCGGCGGGACGTTGTTTGCGGGGAGGCTGTCGCGTTTTGCACTTTTACATCTTAAATTGTTTTTTTATTTCTTAAAAGAAGAAACTTCGAAATGACCAAAATGACCTTAACTTAACGGAGTTTAAATTAAGGGACCCAAACTATAATAAAAATTAAACCCCAATGACCATAGTTGTAATTATTTTATTCAGAGGATGCAATCTAAAACTTTATCTAACTACAAGGATGAAATCTGTAATTTACTCTCTTAAAATTAATAAATTATACCAAAATAAAACACATCAATTCTATTTGGAAACTTATTATTTTCAAAAGATTCTGCATTTGCGTTTACGATAATAGATATCAAATAATAAAGTTTAATAATTTTTTAAAATATTTTTATTAATAATATTATATTATAAAGTATTTGACAAAAACTCTTAAAAACCATATTTTATGTATAAAGTACTGCTTATTAATACATTTTACTTAAAACTCAAGATTTGCAATTAGATTGTTCGTAAGTACCAAAACATCCTTTTTTCTACTGATTTCTTATTAAAAATTGAAAAAATACATATATAATCTAATCTAACGAGGGGGAAGACGTCGGATTTACAAAAGGATAGTTAGTCGAAGATGTTTGAGGTACGTACAGGGATGATTTCACCGATTTTAATACGATTAAATCTGTAATTTTTTTAAATTTAGAAACGCTAATAATAATTTTTGTGAAACCATAGGGACCAAATGACAATATGACATTGTTTCCAATTTCAATATTTTGTTCATAATGTGTTTTATTTTCTTTATCGGCTTCAGTATCGCCGTTCAATTTGCTTCCATAAAAGGCTTCGTTTTCCCTAAATCACCCATTCTATACCAAAAGGGCAAAAACAATGCTACCCTCTTCGTCTCCAACAGATGAACCCTAATCACTCATCACCATTCCAATCTTATACATAACCCATTCACAATTCTTGGTGTTTTTTCCTTCACAAATGAAGAAACCCCATCTGGGTATTGAAACCCGACCTCGATTTCTCCTCTTCATCTTCGACATCCTTACTGTTTATGTCATCTATGTTCACTCTCAGTCGACTTCCGACGATACTGCTGTAATGCAGGCTCTAAAGAAAAATCTCCAACCACTGAGTTCACTCAATTGGTCCGACCCGAATCCATGCAACTGGGACCGAGTCGAATGCTCCAAAGTCAACCGGGTCACCGGAATTCAAGTCGGTAACCAGAACCTCAAAGGCACTCTCCCTCAATCCCTCAATAACCTCACGGAACTCCACGTTTTGGAGTTTCAAAACAATCAACTCACTGGGCCACTCCCCAGTCTCTCCGGGTTGAGTCAGCTCCAGAACCTACTGCTCGCTAACAACAAATTCTCTTCAATACCGTCGGATTTCTTCAATGGTATGTCTTCTTTGCAAAACGTTTATTTGGATTACAATGCGTTTACTGCATGGTCTATCCCAGAGAGCTTAAAAACTGCATCGAACTTAAAAACTTTCTCGGCGACGTCCACGAATCTTACCGGAAAACTACCGGATTTTTTCGGCGGTGATACTTTTCCGGGGCTAATTACTTTGCGTTTAGCTTTCAATTATCTTGAAGGCGGGTTACCCAATTCGTTTCCGGGTTCGTCCATACAGAGCCTGTGGTTAAATGGACAGAAAAGTGATTCTAGGCTAAATGGAAGCATTGAAGTTTTACAGAATATGACACAATTGACTGAAGTTTGGCTTCATTCCAACTTGTTTTCGGGTCCTTTACCAGATTTTTCGGGTTTAAACAAGTTGCAGAATTTGAGTTTGAGAGAGAATAGTTTCACAGGTCCTGTGCCAGCATCTTTGGTAGGTTTGCAGTCTTTAAAAGTTGTGAATTTGACTAAGAACATGTTACAGGGGCCAATGCCAAAGTTCGATAGATCGGTTGATGTGGATATGAGTGAGATTGATAGTTTTTGTTTGCCTGATCCTGGTGTCAATTGTGATGCCCGTGTTGATATCTTGCTTTCGGTGGTTGGATCTGTGGGTTATCCTCAAGGTTTTGCTAGTAATTGGAAGGGTAATGATCCGTGTAAATCGTGGTTGGGAATTACTTGTTCGAGTGACGGGAATATTACGGTCGTTAACTTCCGGGGAATGGGTCTCACGGGCACCATTTCATCGGATTTATCTTCGATTAAGATGCTGCAAAGATTGATTCTTGCAGACAATAATCTTACTGGGGTTATACCTAATGAACTTAAAGATTTGCCAAATCTTGTAGAGATAGATGTTTCAAACAATCAACTTTATGGCCAAATTCCTTCTTTTAAAGAAACTGTTAAGGTGAAAACCGATGGGAATACGAATATTGGGAAAGATGGTCCCAGTTTAACACCGGTTTCACCTTCTAATGGTTCACCGGACTCGCCTGGTGTTAGACATGGCGCTGGTGGTGGCAGAAGTTCCTCCACTGGGGTGGTTGTGGGATCTGTTATCGGCTGTCTTTGTGCAATTTTGTTAGTGGGGTTGCTAATTTTTTATGTCTACAGAGCGAAAAGAAAGCGTTCTGGTAGTCTGCCTTATCAGAACACGATGGTCATACATCCCCGCCATTCAGGGTCTGATGGTGATGGGGTCAAGATCACGATTGCCGGTTCAAGTGCTAACGGTGGGTCGAGTGAAGCAAACAGTCACACAAGTAGTGGAACTAGAGATATTCATGTTATCGAAACAGGTAGTATGGTAATTTCAATCCAGGTTTTGAAGAACGTGACGAACAATTTTAGCCCGGACAACGTTCTTGGAAGAGGAGGGTTTGGAACAGTTTACAAAGGCGAATTACATGATGGAACTAAGATTGCCGTAAAGCGGATGGAGTCAGGAGTAATGAGCGAAAAGGGATTGGATGAGTTTAAATCGGAAATCACCGTGCTTACCAAGGTTCGACACCGGCATTTGGTAGCACTTCTCGGATACTGTTTGGATGGAAACGAGCGACTACTTGTTTACGAATATATGCCTCAGGGGACACTTAGTCGGTTTCTGTTTAACTGGCAAAATGAAAATTTGAAGCCTCTCGAATGGACCAAAAGATTAATAATCGCTTTGGATGTTGGTAGAGGTGTCGAATATTTACATGGTTTAGCACAGCAGAGTTTCATCCATCGGGATCTTAAACCGTCCAACATTCTTCTTGGCGATGATATGCACGCCAAAGTTGCGGACTTTGGACTCGTTCGGCTTGCCCCTGACGGTAAAGCTTCACTCATCACAAGATTGGCCGGAACTTTCGGCTATCTTGCACCGGAATATGCAGGTAAGCGAACTTTCTCATATGGCATCTAACATCCACTAAAATGAAATCAGTTTTATAAGATGTCAAATATGTATAAATGTTCTAACTGAACAATTCTGACATTATATTTTCAAAGTGTTCTAAAAAACTTGTTAAGATGTCCAAAAGCTACATATCAACTTATTGTATTATTTGGTTCTATAAAGTCAAGTCCTATGGAGTCTAGTAGGACATTTAGACATATTTGACGTTGTATAAAGCTGATTTTGTTGTAGTGATCTATTGGTTTAGATTTCGTATAACATATGGCTTGCAATGTGATATTTGCTGAATTATATATTTGCGTATGGTTTATTCAGTGACGGGTCGACTGACTACCAAAGTCGACGTGTTCAGCTTCGGTGTAATCTTGATGGAGTTGATCACAGGGCGAAGAGCGCTTGATGAAACCCAACCAGACGAGAGTATTCATCTGGTTCAGTGGTTTCGCAAAATGCACATCAATAAGGACACCTTCAGAAAAGCCATAGACCCGGCACTTGACCTCGACGAAGAAGCTCTTGCGAGTGTCGGCAAGGTGGCTGAGCTAGCCGGTCACTGCTGCGCTCGAGAACCCTACCAGAGACCTGAAATGAGCCATGTGGTCAACGTGCTGTCATCTCTAGCCGAGCTTTGGAAGCCATCTGAACTGGACCCTGATGAGATATATGGAATCGATCTCAATACAACTTTGCCTCAGGCCGTAAAGAAGTGGCAAGAGTTGGAAGGAATGAGCGGGATTGACGATTCGTTGGTTATTGGGAGTGGTGAAAGCACGCAAACGAGCATACCGAGTCAACCATCAGGCTTTGGTAATTCGTTCATGTTACGGTGAGGTTTGGTTCTGGTTGGAGATTGGCTTCGTTTGTTCATTCTTTCTGATGCTTATTTATCTGGTATTTGTTATTTTATCATTTGTCGGTGTCATCGGTCGTTCTTGATTGAGTTATTTAACGTAAAAATCCCGATGTCTCTATATCTCTTTATTGTTTTTGTTACTGTTTTGTGATTGTTGAACATTGTTTAGTTCGCCTCTACATTTTATTGCAATCCTTTATGTATAGAAATCGATTTGCATGACTTTTAGTTTCGCTTTACTATTTAATAAAATCTAGAACGCACAAAAAATTCCAAGTTGGGCCTTGTAAGTTTGAGCCCAGGCCCAAACCCAACTTTAAAGCCTAATCAGCCCAACTCTTTTTCAAGGCCCGAAATGACATGGGCTTTTTATTTTCACTTGTTGACTTGGAAGTCGGAAGACCTTGGTCCAGGTCCGAAAAAGCTCGGGCCTTGTGCATCTTTAGGCAGGTTGCTTGCATGCCCGTGAATTACTACATGCCTCACTGAAGTTTAATGAGCTCAAGTAGGAAGAATGTAAACAAGTCGAGCTTCTAATGAGCTACTTGAGTTCAAGCTCGTTTATCTTGAGCTCGAGTAGATCTCAAACATAAAATAGAACTCGTTTAACTTAAAAGAGTTGAGCTTCATAACGCTGATGTTCGATTCAACTCGTTAGAACTCGATTAAATTTTTCGACTCGAGCTGAGTCATTCGAGTATACACCTTTTTGAGCCAAACATGATCATTATGTTCATAAATCATACAATACAATTTATCAACCTCAAGCCAATAAACAAGTTAATTGATCACGAGTTCGAACCAAACTTGCTCATATGTTGTGCTTGTCAATAGGTAGAGAAGATTGGCAGCATAGCTACCATCTTGTTCGTTTATGATCAATTTGTAAACATAATCCCAAATACAACAAGAACATCGAACATAAATTTCAAAAATCTCGTCTTGTTGGATCTATTTGATGAAATGTCAATAATCTTTTAACGTGTTTCTAACATGCCAAGTAGGTCAGAACGATCGAGATTGGATTGATGGATGATATGACAGATCATGTCGATAGGCGGGTCCAGTTTCGGCTACGTTTACAGAATTTTAATTGATAGAAGATAATTGAATAACAAAAAAATAAAACCCAGAGAATTATGGAAAAGTTTTGGTATATATATATATATATGTACAGAGAATCAAATCAGACTTTTTTGGTGGCAATTTTGTCTGCCACCATGCCCATAACAATCCGCTTACAAACAAAACACATCACTTTTAAATAAAAAAAAGGACCCAACATCGTAGCTGCTATGTACCATCCTCAGATGTTTTCACTATTCATTTCTTTAATAAATGAACACTTATAAATATCACCCTCATTCACATCATTACAAGTATTCTTTACATTTTTAATAATAAATTAACCTGATTCTTATATATATATATATATAAAGCGCATTATGACGATGTTATGGCCCGCTATAACGCCGAGGTGTGGCCTCGCTGCCAAGTTAAAGCCCATGGCACGACTCCAAGTTGTGGCTTGTTGTATAGCGCGTTACGACGGGTTATTGTCAGGTGTGTTAAGGCGTGAATGGATTTTTTTTTGTTTTTACTTTTTATATATATGATTTATGGCTTAAGTGGTGCCTTAAAAAACACCATAGCCTCGTTATAATTCGTAAGCAGCTAGTTCAAACCCTAGTACTAAAATGGAAAGCCAAAGGAAGACTTTTATACAAGTATAAAAACATGTGGAAGTTGTAAGGGTGTCGGTGCGCCGGAGGAAAGACGGCGAGGAGGAGGATTATAGCTGGGGCAATGAAGGTGATTGGGAAAAATCAATCATGAACCATGAAAATCTGAGGTTCACATTTGAAATTTGAAAATAGTAAGAGAGTTTTTGATGATAAAATGAAAATCTTAGGAACATAAAGGTTAAAATTTGAAAGGGGTAGATAGTTTAAATTTTCAATGTCTATTGGAAACCAAAACTAAATATGAGAAAGATAAAACTTAAAAGTATGAGTTGTAAAAGGTGAAGTATTGTTGAGTCGTACCGTATATGTAAATGACTTGTAATTAAGACTTTATGCATAAAAAATAACATTTTATGTATTTAAAATTATTTTTAAAACTTTTATCAAATATGTTTTATAAGATAGTATAGATATACATAAATGACTTTAATCTAACTCAATAATTATATTATTAATTTTATAATTTAAAAAGGAATATGAAGAAGAGACAAAAGTAGACGCCATATACGACCCGACAAAGATTTTGCATTAAACCACAATCTCACTCAGTTGAACCGCCCATGAGACACGCAGTGTCGACGACGCCTTCACTTTTTGTTCCCTTTTATTCCTTCTTCTTTTTCTATTTTTTATTTTTTATTTTTTATTTTTTATTTTAATTTATTTTCCCAAAAACAATTATTTAAAAAACTAATTGCGCACCTGTTCAGGTAGGCCGCATGTGCCACACTGCCTTTTTTTAATTTATGTATTTTATATTTCAAGAAAATTGCTTTTCTGAAAAGATTGATTTTAATCATATCGGAATACAACCTATATTCGCATTATTAAATATATATCTATTCTTTTTAATTATGTGTGAAGTCAAAATTTACATTTATTTTACACATATATACACACAGGCCCATGTATTTTGTAAATTTTAAGTTTAGATGTTATTTATTTACTTCTTAATAGTTTTATTAAAAGACAATATCTGAATCATTAAGATGTGAATTTTGTTTGGCAAAAAAAAAAAGGTATGTCTCTTAATGGTTCTAAACCCTCTGAATGATTTTGTATCATGGGTCCCCCTTAACAATTAAGCGTTCTAATTTCATTATAAACAATTGTCAAACAATTATATTTCATTTTGCATTATATCATGAGAGTCTCTTAATCATTCTGATGACTTTTAATCATTCTGATGACTTAATCATTTTGCACCAAACCATTCAGCAACTGCCAAACAGCCCTAAGTTAGTTGTTGTTTGCTTATCTTTTAATAGTTTCATTAAGAGACAGTCTTTAAATTGCTAAGAGGTGAATCTTGTTTGACAAAAAAATATTTGTCTCTTAATGGTTCTTAAACCCTCTAAATAATTTTGTATCTTGGATCTCCCTTAATCATTCAACATTTTGATTTCGTTCTGAAAATAATTACTAAACAATTATATTTTATTTTGTACTATATTATAAAAGTCTCTTGATCATTTTGCATCAAACTATTCAGCAACCGACAAACAATTCTTTAGTTTTAAAAAATTAGCTGATAAATTAATGGATATAGAAATTAGTTATATTTGATTAAAAAAAAGTTAGTCATATCTTATAAAGTTAATTAATAAATTAGTTATATTTAGTAAAATCTAGATATTAAAATAAATTAATTTAAAATAGATAGGGTTATTTCTGTAAAAATAAAAGGTATCATTTGGGAAAAAAAAAAATTGGAGCTTATTGAAACACCACCTAAAATAACGTCTTAATGACTCATCAAACGCAACTTTTTCAATAATTTAAAAAAATATTTATTGCTTTTTTTTAATTAAAGGTTAGTGCAATTAACACGATCAAATTTGGAAAATTTCATATCGTTTTAATTTGAAAAATAGTTTTACAGTAGAAAGATATCAAGAAACAAATATTTACATTTAATCATTTTGAATTAATTATGGATGATCTTTCAGAAAAAAGAAACGTTAGAGAACAAAACAAGGGGGTGTTTATGATTGTTTATTTAAAACAACTTATACTTTTTTTACAAAAGTGTTTATCAACTTATATTATAAGTTAGATTGGTTAACTTCTTTAAAAACTTCTTATTACCGGTTTGGCACTGGTATAAACTCTTTATCTAAACACTTAAAAATGTTTATTAGCAGTATCATACAGGAATAAGTCAATAAATTGTTTTTATAAGCAATCTTAATTCTTAAACACCACTAATAATGCAAGAGACAGGTGGGGTTCCGTCACCTACTAATGATCCACAGATCCCAAAAAATGGACCCATTATAAGAAGAAAAATTCATCTTTTCATATAACAACGTTTTATACACTAACTCGGAATTTAACCATTCAAATAAACAAAAAAATTCGATAAAATCATCGTAAATTCTTCGTTTTTCGGGGAAATAAAAATGGAAATAATATTTTCATGTCGAAATCAAAGAAAATATATTATCAACATAAAGGAGCTCTTTGAGGAACACCTTTTCTCTTATGTAATACATTCTTTTTAACCTTTAAACTCGAAATTAACCATCCTTCTTGAACGTTCTCTTCAACCGATTCGATCGACGAAGAAAAAGACGAATCGTTTTCGTGCGTAAGTCCTTCGAGATCGCAGTTTTTCTTACAAAAAGAATACGACACCATCTTGTGATTTTCGAGTTTATTTATATCATCCACCACTACCACTGACACCTGATGAAAATTTAACTGAATGAACAATTTTGTATACGATTATCTAAAAATCAACCAGTCACGTATTTTCATCGAAATGTACCTTGCAAGCAATGGAACAAAACCGATTCGGGATGTCTTGAATATGTCTACCACAAGCTTCACAATAAGTCCCGTAGATTTTGGATTTCGATGGTCGTGAATCTTTATGTTGTTGAGGTCGGGGATTCAAATGCACCGCTTTTTCACCATTGATTTTGTACGTCTGCATATGAAATGTTGAATTAAATTCGTTCATTTCTATTTGGATTTCATCGATATCATAGCATTTGAATTTCAAACTTAGATATAATCGAAGTTTAATCAGTTTTACCCCTAAAAAACCCTCGTTTGATATAATTCAGTAAGAATTTATGGGGTCAGACGTATAGCTGGCTGGCAAAGAGACGAAACGACTTTGCTCAATTTTGGGTATTATTTTGAATAATAAACTAATATTATAGTCCCAGACACTACGTTTAAATCAGAATAATCCAATTCAATCAAACTAATTAATTGATTAACATTCAATTCAAATTCAAATAAGGAACGTAAAATTTATTATCAGAATTTAAGAAATAAAATAAAAATTCAATCGAAAAAAAAGGAGATCGAGACTGACTTGAATGTTGGAGCAATCAAGGTGTTTCTGGATATCTTGGAGACGAACGACGTCGTGATACACATACCGGCAGATTTGGAGGCGGCGGTGGCGGTGGTGGCACTGTGTTTTCAAACCCGTAACGCAATGTTTGCAAAAACACAGATTACAGTCGATGCAAAACACGTTCTTTTCGTTTTTCCGAAGGGTCCGATGATCGATGCAGGTCCCGAAAAACTTGCTCTCGATCAAATTCGCGACCCATTTGCAGTGGTCCAGTTCGCTCGCTCCCTTAAATCGCTGTATCATCTTCAGATTTAAAAAGAAAATGCATCAAAATGAGATCAATTTGAAGAATTGTAGTAAATGGGAAATGATACAAACCATTGCTGTTGAAGTGTTTGATTGCAGAAAGGGGAAAAGAATGTGGTTTATGAAGGAAAAGGAGAAGAGAGAGTGGAGGGATCAGCTTTTAAAGGATGGGTTTTAATCATGAAATGGCCAAAAAGGAAAAATTAGACCCCTCCATTTTTAAAAACCTTCATTTTTTTTTTTAGAAATACATTTTTAAATACTTATTAATTTATTTTTGTAAAATTATGTTATTTTTGGTTTAGGTAATTTGTTAATAGTTAGATATTTTTATCACAAAAACTATATTCTTTATTTTAATCAAATTATATAATATAAATAATTAATTTATTGATAATAATAAGACAAAAAATAGGTGGATTCAATATTTAGAGGAGAGCCTTGAAAGGCATGATCTATGTTTAGACTATAGTCAACAGATACATCGAATATTAAAATTGACCAAATCTTTTCAAATAAAAACACTAAATTTTATATCAATTTTTATATATCTGATGCTACCTCCTGAAGTTGCCCTAAAGTTTATCTGTGTTGAGGGGTTAGATCGGTAACAAAAAAAAAATGCTAGTGTGTGTATATATACTAGAACGGTATTCATGTAATGCAGTGAAATATATCTTGATTTTAATGTTTCATTTTATTCTTTATCTCGGTCGATGTTATTTTTGAATAAAATATAAATTTGAATATATCATAAAAATTTGACGAAAATATATCGATATTAATATCAAATTAATTATTTAAAATTCCTATTTTTTGTATAATTTTTTAATTCAATTTTTTTTATTATAATTTGATTTAGGTTCAATGTAACATCCCAAAATTTCAAATACTTAAATATAACAAAACTAGTATCCCAAGATCAAACACTTACATTGCAGCGGAAATAAAATCTATAATCTTACAAATTATATCATCATCTAAGTTACAATCTTGAGGAGCATAACTTTACTCTATATAACAATGTCTTGATCTGCATGTCCTTTGATGCTAATCCTTATATCTCTCTTTATCCAACTTTTCTTTCCAGTCTAATAGCCGCCTAGGTGAAAAAGTTTTAAAAGAGTTTTGGGTGAGCCTTAGGCCCAGTGAATCCACGGTTTTCATGCATGRACAACAACTTTTATGATAAACAATTTTCACGAAGCTTCATAAATTAGCATGCCTTGATGAGAATAACATTTTTCACAAAATAAAGATATTATAGTGTGTGTCTACATCACAAAGCAACGACGTCATGAGAGATGTCTACCTCACACAACATTACCTGGCGAACTCACACAGCATGTCCGCACTTACGGCTTAGACAAGCTCACAAAGCATGCTYGTCTTTACAAAATCATACCGTAGTACATCCCCATTGACATACAAGTTCAAAACACATATTATAAAAATATCCCACTTTTCACGCATATATAACGTATCAAAAATCTCGAGAAGCTTCAAACAACTTGTGGATAATAAGAAACAAGGCATGCAACCATTTTAAAAATAAATCACGTGTAACTCACTATACATGGCGTAGCCCAAACCGATCTTTGAAGTAGCTAGCGTCTCCCCGATTGGTGCCAAACTAACTACGATGTAGAGCA